CCAGGCCAGCAAGGACCTAACAGAACATAATTATTGTTAAAACTCCAAAATAATTTTGGACATTTCTGTGCTTCCAATAAACAGCCCCAGGCATGAGCCTCACAGTACTCAACCCTCACCCAGCCAGGCCACCCCGGGATTTGGCAATCAAAGAGTGAAGGCCTTGCACAGTGGGGAGAAAGTTCCTGCAGGGCCATGCTCCAGCAGGAGGTCTGTCTGATTGGTCCCATCCCAGGCCATACAGATACTTCACAGATCAGCCCTGCCAGGCTGAGGCACTATGCTTCATCAGGAGCAGAGAGAAACCCCTGCCGTATGCTCGGCATCATTTAAAAACCTTTAAGATTCCAAAAGAAGATGAGCTCACAATCTCAGGCCAAGGCTTTGATGGATGGGTTAGTTGGAAGTTGCTAAAGAGGGTCCTGAGACATGACACCTTCAGTTCGTGTCTACGAGATCTGGCTAAGATGCGCATCTTCCATAATGTGGGTGTCCACCCAAATCCATGGGCAGTTCTGAGTCACCTGGCAAGTCAGTAGGCAAAAGGCAGGTGAGCTAGAGGGAAAACATGCATTTAAACTAAAACACTAACACGCAGAGTAGCGTGCATTTTTGTGAATGTACTCAAATATACATACAGCATGTTTAAGTGTGCATGTGGGTATTTATAGAGATGTCTATATGTGCAAGTGCATATATATATGTATATATATATATATATTGAACTAGCTACCAACCTCTAACACAATTATCATTTAGGGGAGGAGGCTGTCAATTAAGCCATATATGGGATATGAATTTGTTGGGGGAAGGGTTGGTATTCAGAAACAGCAGAGAGGTGGAAAAAGAAAAGATACAGAGGAAGACTAAGACAGGAGAACTGGCAGGTGCACACTGGGCCAAGGCTAATAGCTACCTGCAAGAACAGGGTCGGAGGTGGTCGTTACAGGGTTTTACTGTATCCGCCGTGTTTAGTCAGCCCTAAAAATAAAACATTCCATGAGAATATAAAAGAAAATGCTAATAGTTTAAATAGTAGGAGAATGTGAATGTTCGTCTATTGGGCCAGCTTTGGCATTCGTCTGCACAACTTATTTCTCAGGAGGTAGTGGAGATCATTTTGATTGCATCTCCATAGCCATGTGCTAGATGGTAAGAATTGTTGTGAGCATCTTCCAATCCTCCCCAACTCCCTAAGACCTCAGATTCCCAAATTAGCCCAGACTAACCCTTTGCAGATTAATAGCCTTGTTTTTTTTTCATGATTAAAACTAATGTAAAGAAGGCCTGTTAGATCACAGAACTTGGAAGGCTAAGGCAAGAAGATTATGAATTCAAAGACTACCTGGACTACATAACAAATTAGAGTCCAGCCTGGGCTACACAACAAATATAGAGTCCAACCTGGGCTACACAATAAATATAGAGTCCAGCCTGGGCTACACAACAAGCCCTTCAAAAAGGAAGCAAATGAAATGTATAAAATGGATGCTGTTCATTTCTAAGTTCAAGCATCCGTCCAACGCAGCGCGAGGCTCCCGGCATGCTGGGCTGAGTGATGGATGGGTTCTGCTGTAAGCTGCTCCCGGCCTGGGAGGACAGACAGACGATATGTGAGGGGGAAAAACATGAGAACGCACTGTGGGCAGTGTGTAATAAGGACATTTTTACTACTGCACACTGTCTGAAACAAAAAGGTTCATGATGGAGTCTTGTGGGGGGCTATAATTTCACACAAGGACATTAAAAGGGGTCTAGAAAGACGAAAGCATCAAGAAAAGAAATAAGAGGGAAATAAAGACATGGAAACCCTTTTTACGCCAGTGTTAGGATACAGATTCCAATGTCCTTAATAACAGTGTGCTATAGGCTCGGACACCAGCCTGAGACTCTAATGGGAAGTTGTGGAGCATTGACTGGGTCGAGCCAAGGAAGTTAGGTCCTTAGCAATATGACTTGAAGTAGATACTGGCATCTCAGCCTCCTCCTGTCTTTCTCTTGGCTTCTATGCCACTATGAGGTGAGTAGGGGCCCTCCTCCATGCACAACCAACCACAGTGACAGACTGAGTGTCAGTGAACTCAAATTCCCCAAAACCATGATCCCAAAACAACCTTCCCTCCAAGATACTGATTGCCTTACGGATTTTGTCACAGCAATGAGATGCTAACTAACACGGCCAATTACCTACACATTACAGCACGCAGCAACCCCATAGCTAAGTAGTAGTGTTCCTAATTTAAGGGAAAAAAGGCTCTGAGGAAATAAATAAGTGTACAGAATCCAAAGAGTAAAATGTGGATTCTCACTCAGATCTGAAATTTCAGGCTGGAAAGAGAGTGAAGAAATGGGGTTTACCTAAGGCAGAATTGGGAGCCTTCTGGTACACATGCTGCTACTTCCCTCACCCCCTCCCCCAGATTTGGACACTCAGTGTGTTAACCTCAACTCAACTGGCTTTAGAATCACCTAGGAGATTGAGGCACCTAGGAGATTTGAAGTGTCAGTAAATATGTTTCAGAGAGAACTGAGGAAGAATAACCCACTTAGAATATGAGTGGCCTCATCCCAGGGATTGAAGATTTGAAAGAGGAAACTGATCTCTCCATCATGGTGAGCCGAGAGGTAAGTACCCCCAGCCACATGTTCCCGCCGCCATGAACTCTATCAGGTCCTCCAACCATGATGAACTTCAAAACATGAATAATAAAAAAAATCTTATTAGCGATCTGATCATAGCAATTAAAATTGATAGTAACTAATATGTTCATTTACAACCAAAGATCAAAATTATTGTGGCAAATGGCATGAGTTTATTGATTCTAAAATGAGATGAAACCTAAATAAAATGGAATATGATCAAGATCAGAGAGATGCAAGATTAATTCTAATAGTCAGTCTTGTGTACACCATCTCTTTCCATTTGCCCCATAGCTTCAAGTTTCTTGACTTTAGAAAAGGAGATGTTTTACTTCTACCTATGGGAACACATCCTCCTTGACATGCCAGGACTAAATAAGGCAGCTCAGCCTGGAAACAGAGATCAGGGGACAGGAGATGCCGAGGACGAGGCACCGCCCTGGATGCTGCCTAATCCATCCGACATGGGACACACTGTTCCAGAAACAGGATGACAATTAATAGGAAAAATCTGCTCTCACACCACTGCCAAGCATGTTTCAGGGTCTCAGCTGCTGGTAGGAAGAACAATAATGCCCCATTCTTCCTTTTGGTCCACATCCTGATGTTTTCTTGTGGAGAATAAGGAAAGATCACACACACACACACACACACACACACACACACACACACACACACACACACACGAAGCATCAATGCACATAGCCAAAGATCCAAGGATCACCCAAGACAGAAGGCTTTGAGATGCTCAGTAGCCATCCCATCTAAACCTGTGGAGCTCTGCTTTGACAAATGGTAAGAGCTGGCAGAAAAAAGTGTCTTCAATCAAAGAGCCTGAGAGTAGTCTGGACCTGTTTGAGCCATTAAAAACCTATTTCCTCCTTGGAAATTACCAGCATATATATTTCTCTTGGTCAAACTATTTCAAATTATCCACAAACACTGGAGGTATCACTCAAAGGTAGAACAATTAGCTACCCTGCGTGAGGTCCCTTGGCTCAACCCTGACTCCCACAAAGCTGGGGGAGGAAGGAAGAAGAGCAGGAAGGAAGGGAAGAAGGAAGAAGAGGAGAAAAGGAATGAAATGGGGTGTGAGGTGGGAAAGAGGGAATGATGAAGAGAGGAAGACGCAGAAGCAAAAGGAAACATGGCTTGCCTCCATCTATTCATCATAGTCATCAAAAGCCAAGAGTTCAGAAGCAGAAGACTCCAGAAAGACCAATCTAGCTGGCTCCACATTTCAACCCTTTGGTCATCTATAAGTGGTTCTATATGCTAGTACTCTTAATTTTTAAGGGAGACCCAGAATCTTGAGACTATAACCAAATCCTTTTACATACAAATACTTGACCCTTGACCATGTAGCCATTCAAACACTCATTTTTGCATATGAATCTATGGACTGCTGCTCCTGTGAACGTCATTCATGTTTTCTGTTGTAATCCCTGAGTCCCAAGGTCAGGACTCCCACCACAAAAACCAACTTCTAGTATCAAAGCCTCAAGTTCATCCTTCTGGGTTTTATAATGTCACCAGCAAACATCAGCATGGATGTTGCTTAAGTAACCTTTAACTCTCCCTCTCCACCCACCTCTGCCAACATCAGCCATGCATAGCAGCCCCAGCTGGGAAGACATCTTGAAAATCAGGTTTCAATTCTAGAACCAGAAGCACCCAGTTTCTTTCAAATCATTGGTCTATATCCGACTCTGAGACCAGGCAGGTAAATGCTAATTCAACCTGTTAACCCTTTTCATGCCAGATACCTCACAGGAGCTTGGGCAGAACACCACATCCCAGCACCCCTTCTGCCCTAATGGGGCCAAGTACTCTGTCATGGAAGTTGGCCAGCAGATTTAGAAACCGTGTTGCTCTTGGCATCCATTCCAGGACTCTGTGCAGAGCTACGTGCTGAGCTACAGCAGCACAGACAACTTTTCAATACCAGAATTCACCACCCTCCATCTCACTGGGCTAAGTCACGACGAGATTTCAAAGACAAGTACAGACAAGAGAAAAAAGAATCATTCACATGTGCCGTCCCTTAGACCACCACTAATGAAAAGAATCGTCATTTGCCTCATAAACAACTTTCTGCTCAAACCTCATCACACAAGTCCATCTGAGCAACCAGCAGTTTTTCATTTCCAGCATCCATATTTGGTTCCCATAGATCCCAACACAGTCTTTGGTCCATAGTTACCCAGAACAGGGTACAGACAGGGGTCTCCACTGGGGCTATGGAGATCCAATGAGCAGAGGCTTCTTCAGAGAGTACACAGAGTGAAACCAGTATCTTTTGATGACAAGGAGCTAGGCTTCTGTTATGGAACTCTTGGAACCAAACAGTGCCATCTTACCCTTCATTCCAAATTTGGACCGGCGACCATACTTGTTGATCATGATGAAGAGAACCACCAGAAGGACGCAGGCAAAGGCAGCAAGGCCGACCGCTATGGATACCTAGTAGGAGCCAAACAGAGACACGGTCAGGAGCCGGGACAGGAAGCCTCCGAGCCTTGGAAGTAATGTGTGTGCCCGCTGAGAACAAACAAGTTTCGACAGAACAGGACCCTCTAACACCTCTGCTACTGAGGTGTGTGTAACCTGAAACCTACATGCCCGGTGCAGCCGTGAGACCTCTGTATGTGGCAATGCCATGTCACGATGTCGAACTATTGGGCAACCCTGGAGTTAAGTCTTTAAAAGTGGTTTGTGAGACCCTAAAAGAACTTTTAAATTTTTATTTAAAAAAATATAAATTAATAAGCTTGATTAAGGGGAAGTTCCCAAGTTCAATACTCTGAGCCCTCTTATCTGGAAGCCATTCTAGAAATGCAATAGCAAGCTGAGAGAAACCTCTGTCTAATGTTTCGACTAGCAAGTAAATTCTCTATCTTTCCACCAAAATCTTTATACAGCAGTCCTACTCAGAGAAGACTAGGAGTTCTGCATCAACAGACTCCTTTCTACGTCTCCCCAGGAAAGCCTCAGATTCTGAGGCAGGCCCGGGAAAATCTATCCAAGGAGAAGCTCTGAGTAATTTGGGGTTTTGTAGATGGTTTGTCCAGTCAGCAGGCCTTGCACGCCTGCTGGGCCTGGCTCGTAGCAGACTGGGAATTTCAAACTGTTCTCTTCCTAGCCCTGGGTCTTGGAGCTGACTCTCAAAGGCTTCTTCAAACAATGAGGCACTCTCATCAAACATGGACGGTTTAAACCATCTCAAAGGGAAGCTCTCCCCACTGCTCCTTTTTTTCCTACCATTGGTACCGCTCCAAGTAAGAGACTATGTGCGGAAGTTAGCACCTCAAATGAAGTCCGAAAATGACTCTACCCTTCAGTATTTTCGTCTAGATTCAGGAAGTAACTCACCCCAAAAGTGTCTTCCTCTGGTTTGTGGGTCACAGTGACAGGGGGGGTGGGGCTCACATCAGACTCTGAAAAGATGACAGGGGAGAGGATGGCGGTTAGCTTATTAGCCAGGAGCCCCGGCTCATGCCTGCTCTGTCCTTGGGAAGCAGGTCCCTAGAATCACCCTCTTAGCTGAGCAGACACCTGACCCCCAGGAACTGAGTGAGCCCCAGCAGAGCTACCTGTCTCATGCTTCAGTGGTAAAATAAATAAATAAATAAATAAATAAATAAATAAATAAATAAATAACACTCGAAAGAATGCAGACCCCTATCCCACCTCCTGGCCTAGCCCAGAGAACACACCACAATCTGGGCAACACACACCCTGAAGCGCAGGACAGGAATGATGAAAACGGTTTAGAATCCAGGCTAGCCCGGGGAGTAGGGAGATTTTAACAGTGGCAGCAGCCGTCACTAACATTGCTATCCCTTGCTTAGGGAGCCTCTTTTGCTCTCCCTTCCTGTCTCATTCCTTCCGCTTTTACTCGAAGGCCTCAGTGAAATCCGGGCTCACATCTTAATGAACAGCCCTCTAGCCATGCCGCTAAGCCTGATTTCAGAACACAGTGGCAGTTGGAACAACATTCAATGGACCAGGAAACGCCACCGAGGGGCATCCTCTGTCTACAGTCACTTCCTTGCAAGAAACAATCCCAGCTCTGACTTCTCTTAAGGGAGACCTGTGGGATTATAAGAGATTTTTATGAACAAGAACAATTGAAGGGGTCACATTTGGAACTTACACGTGTGCCAAAGGGCCGGAATACTCCTAGGTAGGGTTGTTCCACTACCTCTGACCTGAAATTGGGCAGAAGCAGCAATGCTTGCTGCTGCTCCCACCTTGGGGGAGTAATCAAAAAGAAAGCGAAACCCCAACTACTTCAAGGACTGTCCAGCCCTGCCCTCAACTCTATTATGAACTGAGCTTCAGTGGTGCAATTCAAGGATGTGTGAGCCCCTGAGAAACCACAGGTTCTGGCCAAAGGCAGGTGAGAAAGACTGGCAAGTTTACAGGCCCCACATTTTCTCTCTAAGAACAACTGAGATGATCAATGAGGGTCCTAAAAGCTGTTCTTTACCTGCTGCAGACTCTTTTCAGTCAGCTAGAGAGGTTTGCAATATGGTCAAACCTCAGAAAACACCGAGTGGGGCCAAGTGGCTCAGTTGCAGAACACTACCTAGCCCTGTATTTAATCCCATTACAGAACAAGGCGGTTGGTAGTTGTCTAGGAGAAACTGTGGTCCAGGGCAACTGTCCAAGTGGGCCTAGGATTTCTTTCTTTTCGTAATGTACTGACACCCTCAACTGCCAAGGGACAGGGAACATGAACTAGGCAAGAGGGAAATCTGTATCTGACAGTCACCAAACTATCAAGACACAAGTGTTTCAAACCCAAAGCCAAGCACACTTACCAAAGTCAAAGAAATCTGTGCTCTCTGGGGGGAAGAAAAGAATAAAGATGCAATTAACACATATAATAATAACCAAAGATCGGGGGGTTGTATAGGACAGCAACCTACTAGCTGGAACCTCTTCCTCTTAACACAGTCCCCATTCCCATAGTAAGGGACACCTAGGAATCCTTCCTAAGTTGTGCTCTCCAACCAGTGCACGACCTCTGTGGGGGATAGTCCCCACAATGGAGGCTAGACAGATGCAACTCCTGGTCTCAGAGAAGGAAGCCCACCTGCAAGCTAACAACCAAGCTAGTTTCACTGTGAGGCAGAGGACTGAGGCCCTAGCCCCATCCTGTCCACAGCTGTCCCTCTTTCAGGTTCTAGAACACTGGAGCCGGTGCTTCAGAGAAGCTCCAGCCGTGACCCTAGAATAAACTTCTTTCCCTCAGTATGTGTGGGCAAGGCTGACATGTCACTGAGAAGTCTGGGGAATGCCCCACCCCCTAGGATCTTCTTATCATCCATATGGACATGTGTTACCTGAACTCTGACCTATGGAAAGGGCTCTCCCAATGATGGAAGAAAATCCTTAAATGGGTCTTAATTATGAGGCAGGAGCGGTGCTCAGTGCTTCAGGTACTATGTCCTTCAAACTTTTATCATCTCCTAGAAGATGAATAGCCCAGTTATAGAGATGAACTAATTGAATACCATTCATCTAGAAAGCAATTGGAGTTGATTCAAATCTAAGGAAGACTGGGCTCTTCAGCACTCTCCAGCACTGCTCAAACTTGAGCACATGACAGAACGAATCATCGGAAGGTGAGTGGTACATCCTCCACCGAAAGGAAAGAGAACTTCTTCAAGGAATGGACTATTTCATATCTGGGACGGGAAAATTAAAAATGTGCTTTGGGTAGCTTGCAGCACCAGAAAATAATAAAGTGCTTAAAGATACATGGTTCTGAAAAGAGAAAGCAGGCAGTAATGCCTGTCTGAAATTTTTAATAATCTAAGCAAAAAAATAGTAAGAGTCATGGGGTGTTCTAGATTGTACGGTGTTGCTTCACAATCCATAGGACTAAGGTGTAACCCCCGTACTTCAGAATGTCACTGTATTTGGAGATAAGGGGCATACGTGAAAATGAAGCCATTGGGGACCAGATAAGAAGAGATTAGAACACTGATGTGCTCAGAGGCGAGGCCAAGTAAAGACGCAGCAAGGACAGCACCTACAAGCCAAGGAGAGAGGCCTTGGAAGAAAGTTAGCCTGGCAACAGTTGGTCTCAGATTCCCAACCTCCAGCGCTGTGATAAAATGGATTTTCGCTACTTAAGATACCCAGTCTACACCACTTTATCATGGCAAACTTAGACAACAAATGCATGAATTGCAAAAACACCCACAAGTCCCTTAAATACACATCTGTAGAGCTGAGCAAAGGAGTGGGAGAGGCCCTCCTTCACAGTGATTCCAGCTAATAAAGGGAAGGATGGAAACAGAAACCATCCTCATTTGGTAAATGCTATAGTGATAACTGCTTAGGCAAGAATCATCAATAAATGTTGAAACTGCTGTGTGGAAATGCTGTAGGAATTCCTACCGCCAGTAGCCTTTAAGTTACCTGCCCACTTGGGCATGGCCTCTTAAGCTGCGGGATTTGGTTGCTGTTTCCCTTCCAGCAGAGGATTGTGATTTGTGAGTCTACCCCTCAATAAATAACCCTCTATTATTCTCAATTCTGAGCTAGTGTGGGATTTCTTTTAAACGTCCTTCTTCATGGAAAGATGGTGAGAAACAAGCTATGTGTGTCCTTTCGGATCCTTATTCCGATTAACTAAGGGTGAAATAAGTCCCTGTGCAGTGGAGGACTCCGCCGAACAACATCTTGACCAAATGCTAAAGTTGGCCTCACCTCTGATAAGCCATGTTAACATCCTGCATTCTTCAACAGGAGGGACCAAAAAGGGTGGGGAAAGACTCAATGGCATCTGTGGAGGCCAAATGAAAGATAGAAGAAAGTTCTCTGCAATGTTTCATAAATTTGACCTTTTTTAGAGCCCAAGTTATTTCAAAGTGGAGTGAAATCGAATCAGTCCTCAACCCAGCATTTCTGGTTCATAAGGTCTTAAGAGAGTGTCTGTGTTGCTGAAGATGGAATTCAGGGCCCCACACAGGCAAGTGTTCCAACACCAAACCATGTCACCAGGCCCTGGTGCACTCCAAGCAAACCCTCCACCACTGAGCCCCACCTCCAGCTCCACAGTGATGCATTCTGAACAGGTGCCCTACCGCTGAGCAGTGTTCCCAGCTCTGAGAATTTGCTTGACTTCTCAGGTGATAAGGATGTTGGTAATGCCTCTGGAAGCCATGCCCCACAACACCAGCCCCCTGTCACAAGCCTGCCAGGCCCTGAAATGTAAGAACAAATCCTCCACTGGCTGGCTCATCCGCTGTTTCATTCATTCATCACTGTGGTCCTCCACTTACCAGACCTTGGTCAAGTCCTCTTAGGAACTGTAGCCAGCAGAACACTAAATATGAACTAGCAGGATATGATTAGCTGTTTGCAGGGAATGGGGTGGCTTCTGTGAAGTCCATTTTCAATAACTGTTGCCTGGCTGGATTTTTGTTTCCTGTTCTGTGTAATTGTGGGGAAGATCTGGCTTGGGGGATAATGGAGGAAACGGGGCTTTAGCATAGGCTCTGGAGCATGAAAAGAGAGATGCGCCAGATTAATCAACAGTATCCATTTATTTTATATTTCTCAGAAGGCTCCCATTTATTAAAAAATATTTTTCCAGCAGCCAAATATTTTGGCCAAGTGTCTGAACCCTGTAATCTCAAAATCAGTCTATGATTTTGAGCATAAATCATCAAGTCCTTTGCTGGAACCAGGCCGCATGCATACATGCAGGCAGCGTGTGAGCTCCAGATTAGGAAGACATGTTGCCTGCTCTCTACCCTTAGCAGGAATTCACACATTTATTCAGGGTGCGCGGGGGACAAACAAGCAAACAAAACAATACTAGGAATTGTTCTTCTTCTGTTTCCTACCAGAAGGGAGGACAAGGATAGAATCAGCAGGATCAGGCCTGGGCAATAGATAGATGTATATGCTTCCTACAGCCCCAGACAGTAACTCTCCAAGAACTCATCACAATTGTGTGTGTGTGTTTATGTGTGTGTGTGTGAGAGAGAGAGAGAGAGAGAGAGAGAGAGAGAGAGAGAGAGAGAGAGAGAGAGANTGCCCAACACGGGGACTGGGGTAATTCTGCGCACTTGGCATTTTTACACTAACAAAGTAGATTTTAGGTACCTTTTAAAAGCATTTTTTATATTAAACAATTGTGTGTGTGTGTTTATGTGTGTGTGTGTGAGAGAGAGAGAGAGAGAGAGAGAGAGAGAGAGAGAGAGAGAGAGAGAGAGAGAATACATGTGCATGTGTATATGATTTGTCTATGCGCACAGCCTTGTGTGTGTATGTGGAAGCTAGGTAGCTCACCGATCAGGATCAGTCTATCATGTCCCTGGCCCCCTGGTGCTAGGGTTACAGCCATGCACAGAGTTCTAGGGATTCAAGCACAGGCCCTTGTGCTTGTAGAGCAAGAGCTGTTACCTGCAGAGCAATTTCTCCAGTCCCTCGCCAAAACATTAAAAAAAAAAAAAAACAAGATCTATTTTTATCAGGCTTATGTATGGGTACCTAGGTGGTCATGGAGGCTGTGAAAGGCCATCAGGTCCTGCCCAGGTGGCTTTGAGACATGTGATATGAGTGCTGGGCACTGGCCAGGTCCTCTGAGAGACCGGAACAACAAGTCATCTCCAGAGACCCCCCATCACAACTTTTGAGGGAGAAGCAAGTTAAGCAGTTTGTCTGAGGTCACAGCTTACACGCAGCACTTGAACTCTGGTGTCGCTGGTCCACAGTCACAACCCTAACCTACCCTGGGACTACGTACTAGGATTTCCTACCTGGACCAAGAATGGCTACTGGTCTGGAACTCCTGAATTCTTATCATCTCTGCACCCCTGAAACCAGAACAATTGCCAACAGTAATGAAGTGTTTTCCATGTTCAAGTGCACTGCCAAGCACTTGGTGGACAGAACGAACTTCATTTGCTCGTCAGTGCAACCTAGGGAAGTTGATCGTTTGCATCCACAGGCAAAGAAGTGAAGACATGGAGCAGTTGCCACTTTTCACAAAACCCAGAGAGCTGTCCATGTGCTAAGCCCTGGCCTAGCATCCTGGGCTACCTATCTGGAAGAATCTCAGATGGAGCTCGTACCTAAATCTGTCCAGCTTCGGAGATCTGGCTCTTAACTGCAGCACTTGGCTGCTCGGGAGTAAGAGAGATGACATACATCTGATTGTGATAAATAAGACGCCTTTACGCTCTCAGGCCAACAAAGAAGAGTGGGATGCACAGACTGCCTTTGCAGCCAGCACCGGGCGGGTGCAAGGTTGAGCAGAGGGGGTTGTAGGTTATCCCTGCCTGCTCCTCCGAATAATTTACTCCTCTGAACATTGATATCTTGTCGCTTGACATGTCTGGCCCATTGTTTCTACCACTCCCTTTCATAGTCCATCAGTTCCTTTAACACAAAGGTTCATAAAACAAACAAACTTCCCCACAGTGTGGCCCATCCTGAAACACGGACAAGTCTGAGGAAGGGTCTCAGGTGTGCGGCTTTCTTTTTGCAGCTTCTCGGGGAGGGGGGGTTCCATCCCCACTCCTTCTCTCCTCCTGGGCTGAGTTGGCAACAATTGCTAACGGTAACTGATTGCAAAGGAGGGATTGTCAAAGTCACCCGAGGAAGTGAAAATCCATCTCTCCAGAGCTCACCCCAGAGCCTCTGATTCAAGAGAACTAAAGGAGCTTGAGAATTTGAATTTTAACTCATTCCCAGATGATACTGACTCTGCTTATCTGGGAACCTTGAAAACCAAGCCCGAGGTGCATCGGCAGCCAACTATGGTGTATCTACCTGTAAGTACAGAGGCCATGTCTACAGGGCTGGAGGATACTGAGATATTGTTTTCTCCTGGAAGAAGAGAGGGCAAAAGGAAGGCTACACCCCCAACATCACCGGTTGCCCCTTGCTGCCTTGTAACATTTAGAATAATCCCTGGGGGAAGGAGCTCAGAGTGGCTTGCCTCCCTTTGTAATATTCCAGAGCTCTCTCCATGTCCCAAGAGCTTCCCTTTGGAAACAGAAACGTTGCTACACTCAGTCCGTCATGGAGAAAGGTTGCAGATGAGTAATAGGGGTCAAACTAGCTCTTTATGTCAACAACTTTATGGGCCGTGAGAGCAAATTATCTCCATATTCAAATGCCACTGATGCCACATTGCAGGCCAGGACTCTTCTTCTAACCAGAGGAGAGCCCACTGTGGTCCATGATGGGAAACATCTTGAGGCTTTTGTGAGCACACCTGGGTGGTGTTGGGAAGGTCAGGGCCTAGGTACTGCTAGGGTCTCAACTATCCGCACATTCTCAACCTTTTCTGAGAAATGGCTCCATCATTCCCTAGATCTCAGTGACAAACATTTAGGACAACACACAGCCCCACGTCTCCAGTGTCACTTGTGGGGCCCCAGCTCTCCTTTCCTTACATTGAGACAAATAAGCTTCCCAGGCCACTGTCCTGTAGTTATTTGTAACTATGAATTTGCGTTCCTCCAGACAGATGCTGCATGGTACTAGATTTTGCTGCCTCCCCATTTTGAAAGTGTGTGATATCAGCCCCTATACTACCCTTTGTCCCTTTAGAAACTTCAGTTTCTGAGAACTGAAGATCAGGAAGTCACCTAGCCTGACCCCGCATACATTGCAAAAGTCAGCGAAGAAACACAGCCACATGGGCAGAAATGTTACCAGCTGTATAACCCACCAAGAAATGTTACAACCAGCCACTGCCTTTAAGCTCTTCTTCTCTTGCTCTCCAACTTCAGGAAAGAGTTTGGACAGGCTGAAACGGGCAGAATCGTCACCCCAAGTTCAGAGATCTTCCATTACTACAACTCTTAGCTCTAGCCAGTGTGACATTTGCACCATCAGCGTCTGATAGCATCATCTACTTCCCCACCAAGTTACCATAGAACAAGAGCAGAAAAGAGCCAAGGCCTGGAGGCCAGTTCCAAGGCAAGCCTTACTGCTGAATAGCTTGGCTGAGGTTTGAGACAGCAGTCTGTTAAATGTGAGGTTGACTTGGACCAACTCTGAAGTGCACTGCAGTGGAGAGTCACTGAGTTATTATCATATACCAGGCTTACATCTTAACTCATTCAAAAATCATGAAACTCCCAGCAGAGCAATGTGCTCACACTTGTGTCTGTTTCACAGATGAGGAAGTGGAAGCTTCGTAGAAGTGCACTGGAGAGTCCAGTATACCACGCTCGGGTAAGTAAAATACCGGGTCAGGATTCTGTACCACATCATCCATCTCTAATGTATCCCTGATTTACCAACTATAATACAGGACATCTTTATATGAACAGCAGGGTTTTTTGAAGGGAATCCTGGAGGTTGCTGCGGTAGCCATGGAAGACTATCCTGGCTAGTACAAAGTACAGATGCTGGCCGTCCCTGTCCCAATGTGAGATCAATTATGTAGGTGACTGTGATTATCAGTGCTATCTCTTCTTTCATACTACACACCCCCCAGCTCCCAGAAGAAATGTGCACAGGCCTCACCTGGAAAGGGCTCCTTCAGGAAGTGGCCATTGATGGTCTGGTTGGCTGTGCCCAGGGCATTCTTAGCAATGAGGGTGTAGTTGCCATTGTTGTAGTGGGTGGGCTTGTTGAAGAGCAGGCAGCCCTCGGAGACCTCACCCTCCTGGTAGTAGTCCATGTGAATGATCTTGGACTCCCTCAGAGGCTGCCCATTGTACAGCCAGTGCAGTGTGGGGGTTGGGTTGCCACGCACCACAAACTCAATGCAATGCTCCAGGCGTACCTCGGGCTCCACCAGGCTCACCACGCGGGGAGGGTCTGTGGGGAAAAGCAAGCTGATCTCGAGGACATGGAGTCTCCTACGGACCGAAGAGACCTTCTAGGAAGCAGGATGGGGATCCCACTTCTCACCCTTCCCTGAGACGGTTGGGTGAAGCAGAGCTCCCACCACCAGCCAATAGAAGGGAAGAACCACGTGTCTTTAGCTGAGCTCCTGGCATCTATCTTAGCGGAGCTTCCCTTCTGAGACCTTTCAGGGATGCCAAAAATAGAATGGACCAACTTAAGAGATTCTGGAAAATGGAACTGAATTGCAGAGGTATACCATCCACTGAGGGACAAGGAACTTCTTTCTTGTGTTTTGTTTTTGTTTTTGTTTTTGTTTTTCCCAAGAGCTTATTTTTCAGTTTTGCCTTAGGACGGCCTTTCTGCCCTTGTTGAAAGGCCAGAGTCGGAGCCTCTAGATCAGCTCTAGCCATGGACCTGCCCCTTTCCCAGCCTCCTCCTGCTACCTCTCTGGCGTCCATGATGGCATACACTTACAGTAGACAGTGAGAGCAACGCTGGCATTGCTCATGCCCACCACGTTCTCCGCAATGCACGTCAGGGTGAAGCCGTTGTCCTCGCTCGTCACATTCACCAGGGTCAAGTTGATAGCGTGTACATTAGTCCAGTTCAGATTGGTCTGAAAATCCCAATCAGAAGATAGTCGCCAAACCATTTATACAAAGATGGCTTCCTTTCCTAACCCCTAATACCTCCGGAAACCAAGGAAAAGGCGAATGAAGTCTAGCTAGTGAAATCACACAGACCATGCTCTGGATCTTTGTAATTCAGTTGATCCTCGTATGAACACTGGGTGGTAATGGCAAAGTTGGGTCTTTTTTGCAAAAGAAGAAACCAAACCACAGAGAGTTGAGCACCGCAGCAGCAATCGAAATGACAAGAAATCATGCCATTTAGATACAATCTGAGTCTGCATGGTTCTTCCCAGAGGGACAGGATCCCAGTTTCCCCCTCTTCTTTATAACCAAGGGATACTCGGTCCCTAACTCCTAGAGTGACTGGTCAGACGATACCTACCTGGTGGGTGTTGATGGACTGCAGCCCAGTGACTATCCAGTCCACATCAGGCAAGGGGGAACCAGAGCCATTGCAAGTGATCACAGCATTGTCTCCTTCTCGGACGGTCAGGTTGACGTGGCTCACGCTGATCTCAGGGAGATCTGGGAGGACAGGGAGGAGAGGGAGGTAAGAAGCCAGAAAATAGTACACAGAGCTCTGCCTCTGGGCACTTCTGGTCTTTCCCTGTGGCAACTCTAGTACAACTTGCTTGAACTCATGTGATGGTTGTAACGTTGTGGCGGCTACTACCAATTTGATAAGCTCAAAGATCATCTAGAGATGCTGCTGAGCATGCCTGAGGGAATATCTAGGTTAGGTTAACTGAGGTGGGAAGACGCCATACTATGGGCTGTGGCCTGAACTGAATAAAAAGGCGGAAGTGAGCTGTGCGCCACAGTTCATCTCTCTCTCTGCTTCCCTACTACGGTCACAAAGTGGCCAACTGCCTCAAATTCCCCTCACACAGCCATGACTTCCTCATCATGGTGGGCTGTACCCTCAAACTGTGGGCCAAAATAAACTCCTCCCTTTTTAAATTGCTTTCGCTGGATCGACATGAAAAGTAAGGACTGTAAGCTGATTCACAGCCCCTCCTCTGCAGACCTCAGAACTGAGACACACACAGTGGGATGCTCCCACATCACGGGTGTGAGCGGCACACCTGTTCACAGAATGCCGTTCTAGCAACCAAGCCTACAACTTCAATGTTTGGGGTACTAAGCCTCAGCAGCTGGTGTGTGACAGGTTCCCACGGGCGCTAGAGATTCCATCCTCTAGCGTCTGGCTGGGCATAGAAGCTGATCCTCTAGAAAACAGCCTGGAAGCTCCTGGTACAAGAATGCCAGCGGCTGCACACTAAGACATGCTCCTTCATGTTTGATTAAATCTTATCTGCTGCGAATGGCGCACGACTCCTTTCGGCATTCCTACCCCAAGACTAGCTTTCCCATGGCTAGCTCAAGATAGGGTGATCAAGAAGGGGAAAGGTCAGTCCAATCTGCACCCACTGCTGAGGACAAGACTGGAGATGGCTGGGAAGGAGACCCTGACAGGCCCAGCCCCTTCTCTGGGGAGTGCGGATGCTGGCCAGATGAGGCAGGGCTGCGGCTCACTCACCGCACTGACTGATGTTCATGCGGAAGAGGGGGAGTTGGGAGCCATCAGCACTGATGCAGTAAAGACTCTGGCTGTCCAGCCGGGCCTCCCCCTGCTCCTGCCACAGCTGCATCCAGCGGATGTCGCAGCTGCAGTTGAAGAAGTTCTGCTCCAGTCTCCTGTGGGTAAGAAGAGAGGGGAAGGAATCCCTGAACGGTGGATGACCCAGCTCCCTCCCAAGGCTGAGGCCAGCGGGCCCTGGCTGCTCCTCCATGAAATGAGCCAGACTCGGATAGACAATACCATGTTTCCTCTCATCCATTGGTCATAGACTTCATTTAGATGCATAAAACCATGAGAGAGACAGACAGAGACAAGACAGAGAGAGACTTGAAAGTAGAAGGGAACTGGAGGGAGGGAAAGAAGGAAGGAGGGAGGAAAGGGAGGGGAAGGAAGAAAAGAGAAGGGAAGGGAGGGGAAGAGAAGGGAAAGAGAGAATGGAAGAAGGGGAGGGAGGGAAGGAAGGGAGAGGGAGAAGGAGGGGAGTAAGAAACTAGCTGGGGAAACAGGAGAAAGAGAAGGGCATCTGGGAATAAATATGGCCACTCACATGTTACACTTGAAATAAATTATCTTAATGGAACCCATCACTATGTACAACGAATATATACCAATAAAATAATTTAAAAAGTAATAAAGGAAGGGGCTGGGGAGGTAGCTTAGCTAATAAAGTGCTTGACATTCAAGCATGAGGATGGAAGTTGTGGACCCAGCACCTATAAAAACCCTGTAAGTGCCAGGAGGGCACGGTGGCCAAACTGCAATTCCAGCCCTCGAGAGGCAGAGACACCGGATTCCAGGAACAAACTCACTAGTCAGCAGAGCTGGCAGTGGTGAGCTTCAGATTCAACCAAGGAAACCAGGCAACAGCAGCCTTTGTACGCCACATGCGGGTGCCCACACTTCCTCACACACGCTAATGCCCACATACATATACATACTCATGACACCCTCTCTCTCTCATACACACACACACGTGCACACACACACATGCACACACACAAATAAAATAAAAATAGTAACAGTAAAGGAAAATAGATTAAGTAAGGTCGCAAAAGATGCAATAAAAAACAACAAATAATGAATACATAGCATTAAGTCCATTCACTTAGTTTCAAAAGTAATAATTTTACAGAGAATACAATTTTTACCCCATGTAAATCACTGGACACAGAGACCCTTTTACATGTGTTACCCTGAGATGCTCATCCTCTTAAAGCCTCCCCATGGCTTTCCATTTTGTTGCAATTAAAAGCCCTTTGAAACCTGGGTTTCTCTGTCACCTTCCTGATGTCATCTGCTCCTCATGATCAGCAAAGCCATACTCTACCTATACTTCTCCATCATCCTAGAATGTCACCTCCGCCTCATCCCTACCCCTATCCAGCCAGGCCAACTCCTGTCCAACACCTGTCCCTATTCAGCCACGCTGATCTTCATACATACAAGCTCACTGATGTGACCAGTTTGGACCTGCTTCAGGGCTTCTGCCCTTGCTGTCTTATCTGCCAGGCAAGCTCTTTCCCAACATATCTGCAAGACTGGTTCCCCTCACTTCATTAAGAAACTGTAGGGCATTCCCTGACCACCATTATATCAAAGCTACCACAGCCCTGTCCTAATAATGTCCAGCCCCTCGCCAGCTGCATTTACCTGTCTACGATTTATTACTATTTCATAACACTTTAAATATTCATATTAGTTTGTTTCTCTGTCTTCCCAGATAAAAAAAATTAAGCTCCACTGAGGCCGGAGATATAACCCATTTTGTGCACCGCTGCAATCACGGTACCTAAGATGGATCCCCAGACACATTTCCACTGGGGGAGTAGGTAGTTAGCGATTTCCAAGACATATCCCAAGCCCATCTTGGGACCAGCTTTATCCCTTCATGAATTCAATGATTCCTTAATGAGCACCTGTTCTGTATCTGGCCGTGGTTGAATGCTGTTAATAGAGAGATGAATAAGACAGACCTTGTCCTCTGGGAGCATTCAGCCCAGGGAAGAAGAATGGCTGATGGGGAAAGAGTCAAGTCCCAAGCCCTTGTTCTCCGCAGAGTCTCCTTGCACCTTAGAACAAGGCAGGTGCCTCCTCTACTGGGTTATTAGGAGAGTGATGGACAGTGCTAATCAATCCCCCAAACTCTCAAAAGCGCGCAGGCTGAATCTGAATGCCGGGGCCATTAGGGGAACATGATTCTCTCTCTGGGCTACTAAGGGGATCGATCCGTTGGCACCTGGAGGAAAGGCACTTGGGTCACTGAATATTTTTTAAGCACGGGGTATTTTTGACAACTGGCAAATTCTAAAATAGCTAAGCATGCGTCAGCACTTGTCAGCTCACAGGAAAAGGGTGGCGGGCGGAGGGGGCAGAGAGAGGAACTCAGTTCCTGGTGACGAGGACAGCACAGGTTGTATGTACAGCCACTCAGCTTATCATCCTCTTAGCCTGTGAGCATCCATGACTTCTCACTCTTCAGGGTCTTTTGAAAAAGGAAAGGGAAAAGGCCCAGCCGTTGCCGGGAATCTGCCTCTCACAGAAGTCTTAAGAGGCAGACAGTACCGTCCCCACACAAACAAGAAGGTCCATCTAATAATGTGGACTGAAGGGTGGAATGGCCAATCCTCTCTGTCAACTTGATGGCGGGATTTATAAACACCACGGAGATACTGGATGTAGAGGAGCAGAAACGAGAAGGGGACACCTGCCCTGAATGAGGTGGACTGAGAGAATGCGAACTGAGTTAAAATGGGAACGCAGGCTGAGCTCCGTCACTTGTCTCCTTTTCTAACTGTGGGCACAATGTGACCGGCCATCTTGTGCTCCTATCACGGTAATGCCCCACCGTGATGGAATTTACCATCAAACCACCATGAGCCCATATAAACTCCTCTTTAAGGTGTTCTGGTCAGTTATTAGACCACATCAATGGGAAAAACAACTAACAGGAGGAGTTAGGATATACACTCCACGCTCTAGCCGTCACAAAACCTTCTGTATACTTCCCATCGTCTCTTCCCTGGGCCAATGCTGCAGAGCCCAAGGGCCCACGCACAGGACTCCCCTGACTTCCAGGGCTCTTGCCAAGAAGACTAAGAGGAGAGGTAGAGGGACGCAATCAAGAAAAGCAAAGGTCAGCAGAGCACAGAGGTCATGTTCAGGAAGCACCTGAGGTGGAAATAGAAGTCAGTGGTAGAGGAGCTTTACCAGCCCGTTGGGGAGTTTGGAGTTTGTCCACAGAGAGGTGAAGAAACCACTAGGCCACCAGTTAAATGATGTTTTATAAGCACAGAGTCGCCATGTACAGCTGTGTAGTTTGTGCATTTCTCGAAGAATCCAGACAACGCTAGATTCAGACCCAGTGCTCTGGAGTGGGGCCCTGAGGGACTATCTTCTCTAACTCACGAACATGGGTATCAGCTAGGCTGGCTGGTAAGGCCTGTATTCCTGAACTTCTGTTCTCCTGACAGAACACATTTAAACTTTTCCTGTGTGTCTCCAATAGCGTTTGGGCATGTTGGTTTTATCTCTCATTACTTAACAATTTTAGAAATTGAAACAGCCATTTTGACAGGTGAGATGAAATCTCAATGTTGTTTTAATTTTTATTTCCCTGATTGCTAAGGATGAAAAACAACTTTTGAGATATTTATTAGCCATTATTTTCTTCTGTTGAAAATCTGTTCAGATTCACAGCCCATTTTTAATTGGGTTATTTATCTTCTTGACTGTGTTGTTTTTAAATTGTGTTCTTTGTATATGGTAGATACAAATCCTCTGACAGATATATAGACAGATATGTAGCTCGCAAAGATTATCTCCCACTCTATGGGTTCCTTCTTTGCTTGATTGATTCTTTGTCTACACAGAAGGCTTGGAAGGGGTGTTATGAGAGCCTATTGTTAACTGTTGGCCTTAATTCCAAGACTAACTAATGGAGTCCAAAAAAATAAAAGGAAGAGAGAAATAAAGAGAGAGAGAGGAAAGGAAAGAAGGAAGGAAGGAAGGAAGGAAGGAAGGAAGGAAGGAAGGAAGGAAGGAAGGAAGGAAGGAAACCTATATCTTGTAGGGTTCTGCCTAATTTTTTTCTAGCAACTTTAACATTTCAGGTTTCAAATCTCATGTCTCTGATCCTCTTGGAGATGATATTTCTGTATTTCTTCAGGGCAGTAGATATGGGTATAAATTCATTTCATTGCAGGTGGACTGGATGTTTTCCCAGTACTATTTGTTAAAGATGCTGTCTTTTTGCCAATGTATGTTTTGGGGCTCTTTGTCAAATATCATATGGATATAGCTATGATTATTCATATTTGAGTCACCTATTTTCCTTTATTAATCTATATGTGTGTTTTAATTGCAGCACCATGTTGTTTTTATTACTATAGCTCTATAATGTACCTTGTAATTTGCAATAGCCACCCCTTCAGTATTGTTCTTGTTCAGAATAGCTTTGGCTATGCAGGACCTTCTCTGAGTTCATGTAAATTTTAGAGCTTTTTTTCTATTCTTGTGAAGAATGCTATTGGTATTGACTTGGGATTGCAGAGAGACTGTACACTGCTTTTGGTAAGAGGCTTATTTTCATAATAATAACTTTACTGAGCCATGATCACCAGGTACTTTTCCATTTTCTAGTATCTTTCTCATTTCTTTGGAAACTGGAAGCTTTCATTGAAGAGTTATTTCACCTCCTTGGTTGGGTTAAGTTCAAGACATTTTGCTGTCTGAGAATATTGCAAATTTGAATGCATTATGACCTTTTTCTCAGCATATATATTGTTGGTATATAGAAAGGCTACTGATTTTTATAAGTTGATTTTTCATATTGTCCCTTTGCTGAAATTATTTTTGTTAGAAATTGAAGTTTCCTGGTGGAATTTTGGGGATCTATTATATAGATCATATCATCTGCAAATAGGGATCATTCTTCTTTTCCTATTTGTATCCCTTTAATTTCTTCCCTTTGCCTTATTACTCCAGCTAGTGCTCTGAGTACTCTATTGGACGGGAATATGGAGAGAGGGCAGTCCTCTTATTCTTGATTTAGATGGGACTGTCTGTGTTTTTCTTCACTTAGGAAAATGCTAACTGTGCACTTTTCATGTATACCGTT